TCTATATTTACAAGTCTTGATTTTCGCAATAATTGCTTTCATTTCATATATCTCTGTACATTGCATATTCTTTTTATACTTCATACTGTGAACTATTGTGCATTTTACCACTGCTAAAAACGGCATAGCTCTTTGATTTTAATTCAGATATATTGAAAATATTGATAAAGTATTTCCTTATATTTTTACTGTAATTTTCATCTATTCTATATTTACAAGTCTTGATTTTCGCAATAATTGCTTTCATTTCTAATTATTTTATAGTTTAAAATAAACTTATTTTATATTTTATGTTATGCACCAAATAATACACCAACGCAAAAATGTAGATTGTGCTGGAACTCAAACATAAGTTCATACAGCACGTATCAAAACAATAATGTTTTTTTAATGAATCGTGCTTTTTATTCACAAGTACATTTGCGAGATTTGCCAGGAATTTGTTGGCTTTACCTGTGAAATATGCACATGGAAAAGATCATTTAAAGATGACTTATTTTATCACCAGCGTGTCTTAAATAAAGCAGGTTTCACCATGTGTACATATTTTTTAATGTTACTAAACATTTCAGTAGATGTACTTTTGAATTTGGAGCTGTGGGGTTTACACGGCACCGCGTCGAGCATTTTCACTCCATGATTCTAAACATGTACCTTCATTGTTGGGACACACCGACACATTGTGAGTGACAGGTTGTGTCTCTGTGGGTGCAGGAGGGAGGCGGGTGTCAGTGGAAGTGTTGCACTCACAGATGACCTGCATCAGGCAAAGCAGAACTTTAGAGGAGAGTTCGCCACAACTACTCTTGATGCGACATACAGTAGGAGGCTTGAGACTAGATTATAAAGAGAGACGTTTACCTGCTCACTCGGTTTCATCGTGTCCTCATCGAGCTCACACGGGAAGTTCATCAGGTCCTCATTGTGATGTGATGCAGGGAAGTCTGGGATCCAGTTCACAGAAAACACATCCATTATCATGGGAAACATGCTCAGCCATGGCATCATTTGAAGGTCTCTTGTATTGTAAATATTTAGAGATACAGAACGGTTGACTGATAAAAAATGTGCCAGGTTAGAAAAGTGATTCAGCATTCTTGCCTCTAGAAGCCCGATGCTGCATTATGTATCGAACAAGTTGTCATACCTTCGAGTTCCTCCAGGATGAGCTGCTCACAAACTGCTGCTCTGCTTTTTGAGGTTTCAACATAGCTGAGCAGAGATTGGGGAATATCCTCCGAGCCCTGTTGTCAGAAAGTTGGTTTGTGTTAGTCGTAATGGTAACAACATCCTCTCTTTACTTAGCTTGTGGAGACAATGTGATGCAATGACTGACTAGTTACACAATAGAGTAATAGCCTAAAGGGCCGTTACAGTCATAAGACTTGCAGGTCTGTTGATGGACTCCCATATTGTCCATAATCCATCCATCGTGTACCTCTCTTATCCTGTTTAGCCTCCTCAGTTGTGTGTGTTTTAAAATACGGCTTCCAAGATTAAAATCCTATATTATTTTGCAATGCATTTATACAAATAAATACTGAAATTGTAAAGAAGGTATGGGAAGAGCCCGATAGCTGCCGTGCACTTTCACCTTTGACTGGACACATTTGACTTACAGATGAAACACAGAACATGCAAATACTGAACATAAAACACATAAAACACTGTTGAGAGGGTATGATTTACATTTTGTTTGATATTTAGTATTACCTGTCCAATTAATTAAGTGTTAATTGAATAATCTTCACTCATCATTTAAAGTGGCTTCAGCAGGAGACTTGTTGCTTACCGTCTCTTGGTGAAATGCAAACCTCTCGTGCTCCTCTTCATCGTCGTCAGAATCAGTATAAACAACTGTGTCAAACATCTTATTAGCTTCCATTTCAAAACGTTGGCAACTCGTTCAGAGGCATTTCACTTTTACATTTGTTTACCACCATGACGTCGTCATAAAGTCCGCTCACGTTGCTGTTATTATGGGCAACGCAGATAGTTGCTGCTCTTCTGTATAACATGCAGTTTAATGTAGATACTTCGTTCTCCATGGAAACGACGCTGAGATGAACTATGGAGCCTCGCGAGGGACAAACTGTGCAAAAGGCAAAAGGGAAGATTCTTCCCTTGTTCTTGAAACTAACACTTAGCAGAAGGTTGTTATTTCTTTAAGTGACATTTTTATTTATATTTATCACTATTATTATTTACATCATTTATTTGAGGTTTATTAGTATTTATTTTAATCATAATTTAAATAGACCTCTGCTTTTTGGTTTTACTTGATTTTTTATTGCTTCTTTTAACGAATAGAAAAAGGGAGAAGCACATATTACTCACATACCAACAAAGATACTTAAACATGGTGAGAAAAAAGGAAATGAAAGGAAGGAAATAAATAAATGAAATAAAACTGAATAATTTAATAATTAAAGTTTTTGTTTAAATGGAGGGATTATGTATAATTTAATGAAATTAAAGTCTAGACGTTAAACTAAAGTTCAGAGGAATAAATAAAGGACAGAGGAGCCACTTGTGTTGCATCAGAAGTCTGTCTCAAGATTCTGGGGAAAGACAAGAACAATGTTCACCGTCCACAATAATGTTTCTCATTATAAACTTCAGGAAGATTAGATGCAGCTCCGTCCATGAAGACCTCTGCTATGTTGATATTTTATATTCATATTATACAGTCGGTATTGTTGAATTGTTTTCTGTATTGCTGTTTAGTTCTGTCGTTTTTAAGTTAACATCGTTAATTGACCAATTGATCACACACACACACACACACACACACACACACACACACAGTAACCGTCCGATCTTTACAAATGAAAAGATGGAATGTCTTTACGCTCCTACTTTCCACACTTGCCAACTATTTACACTTTGGCCCAATAAACAATCTGAGGACAGCAAAGCTGTTTGGTTGCAGCACTGCTCGGTGGGAATGAAATGCAGTGTCGTGGACTTGTGGGCATTTTGGGCATTCAGCTAGAAGGGGTCAGTGAGCCTAAGACCTTGTAGGTGAATCACAGGACCAGAAGAACAAAAAATGTGTCAGGCTGTGAACAATGCACACTTTTTCCACTGCATTTCTGATCACAAAGACCAGTTCCTCTCTCCCGCGGTGAAGTCCCTGCACTCGTGCTGTACTCCTTCTCTTTGAGGAGATTCCAGTGGCCCACACAGGTTTTCCCATACACATTCCCGAGGGCTTTCTAAAAGGAACCCAGTCTCCTTCCTCAATCTATCAAAGAAGAACAGCAGGTCCTCCGTCCCAAACTGTTTCCTCCGGAGACACACTGAAGTCTGTTCTCCTCTGTCGTGACTTTCCAGGACAAAAACAAAACAACAGAATGGCGCCACATCAGACTACATTTTCCTTCAAAGGCCAAAACTGAATTCCACAACGACAATGAAAGCGACCACACATACAACACCTATGTGGCCCGCGGGGTCAACACCATCAGAATCCCCATCAGGTCCGACACAGACATGCTTTCATAAAGGTCATCGCGGGTCAGAGCACAACTTCAGTTCTGAGGCTGACGGCCACAAGCAGGACACGTTGGTGCTGTTGGAGTCAAACTGCCCGTCCCTTATGTTTCATTAGGTCCTCTAAGATTCATTGACCAAGTTAAATTGCTCAAAAAGGCTCCATCAGCAAGCCTTGTCCACTCCGATTAGGGCCAGGCCCTTTGTCAGTGGGCAAGGTGGCCGTCGCTTTTGTCCAAGTGCACGGAACCCAGACAGCAGCCAGACAGGGCCAAGCTGCAGATTAATACAGCAGATTACGCCAGTCAATGGCGGCTCCGGCCCAAACGCAGTGCAGTTTGGATAGCGGCCGTGTGTTTACACTGTCAAGGGTTTTCTGTTACTCGTCTGTAGCCATTATCTTGGCAGCCGTTGGGACCATCAAGCCTATCGTTTCAATCTGGGGGCTTTGGCGAAAGAATCACCACCACTCTGAGCTGCCCTTTAACTTTCTCTCACTGCTTGTTTTCAATGAACAGGTTTATCAATTACAAGATATTAACAATCACAAAAGTGGATTATGAGACAAAGGGCCCCTGAACACCGACATGTAAAGGGCCCCCACCCCTTCTACATAGGAACAAGACCCAGAGATTCAAAGAGACATATTTTGGTAGCTTCACATGTCTTTCTAATTGTTGTAAGTCTCTTTCTGGTAATTTTGTGTATTTTTGTAGTTGTTTTGCATCTCTCTGTAGTTGTTTTGCATCTCTCTGTAGTTGTTTTGTGTCTCTTTGTAGTTGTTTTGTGTCTCTTTGTAGTTGTTTTGTGTCTCTTTGTAGTTGTTTTGTGTCTCTTTTTGGTCGTTTTGCATCTCTTTGTAGTTGTTTTGTRTCTCTTTGTAGTTGTTTTGCATCTCTCTGTAGTTGTTTTGCATCTCTCTGTAGTTGTTTTGTGTCTCTTTGTAGTTGTTTTGTGTCTCTTTTTGGTCGTTTTGCATCTCTTTGTAGTTGTTTTGTGTCTCTTTGTTGAATTTTTGTGTCTCTTTACGTTCATTTTGCATTTCTTTGAAGTACATTTTCATCTCTTTGTAGAAGTTTTGTGTCTTTTTGTGGTCATTTTGTGTTCGATTTTTTTGTCACTGTGGTAGATTTGCATCACTTTTTGTTAGTTTTCCCGACAAGAAACGTAAGCAATAAGTGAAAACAGAAGTTAGGGGGCCCCTGGGCTTGAACCCACTAGACCTGTTAAATAATCCATCCGTGTTAACAATGCATTATAATAATTACTAAATTGTGCTTTTGTGCTGTTAAATGTGGTTGTAAATCACTACATTTGGTCATTATCCATCACTGGAACCTAAAATGAAAATACCATCCAGAAATAAGATATCATGCATTAACTCGAGCTGACATTACAGACCCCAGTGCCGGGAAATGGATGATTGTTCTGAATGCACTGAGCCAGATTATAGGCTTCTGAGAGTAAGGCAATTTGTATGTTGACCTGATGGTAGTTGAAACATATTAGCCAGATGCTAAAATATTCAAGCCAGCTAATCCTGCACGAATGCTTCTATAAGCCTAATCGCTTTTATGTTGCATTCTTGTAGTTATCTTCTGTCAAATCAATTTATACTGCACAACCAATATTCTTCACAGATGCTATACCTGCACAACATTGTGTTAAATTTGTGAAGTTCAACCGGTTCAGCCTCAACACCCTCCTAACCGAGATTATCTCTCCCTCAGTGTGATGACAACAGCTGTGAATCAGTTGGACTTGACCACAGATTTGGATTGCCTTTCAAAGTTACCATTACACTGCCAGTGTGACCTTAGTACGTCTAAATCTGCTTCAAATGACTGTGGGATTACTGGACTCACAGTGAGTAGCCTGCTGCAGGTTCAATGACTTACCGTGAAAAGGTCTACAACTTTTTATTCAGCATTTACACACTTCTTCTTATTTGTTTTGTAAAATCTGTGTGTGGCAATGCAAGGTTTATGCAACATTTTCAAGGACTTATCTGCACATTTGCACGCGTCATCTTTGCAAATGTCTTACAGTCACATGCTGACAACAGAATTAGCCTACAGGGCTATCAATGGTAACGTTGACAACCAGGGGCAAGATGAAATGTGAGCTCTTTCGTGTACTCTAATGGGGGATGGACGACTAGTTCGTCCATCGCCGAGGCTGCTTACTCTGTATTTTCACGGTGTCGACCACAACCTCATGAATAAATACACAAGTCATAAGCGTGACAGTGTGCGGGAGATTTTGTTCCACTTTTTTTCATTAACAGGACATTTAACATGGCATTGTAAGGTGGTTGTTAGCAACTCTTCAGGAACAAAGGGCCTTGATTGTAGCTTGATTACCAACAACTTATTAGTTAACCATGTTGGTTGTGAAAAGGTAAATACAGTATGTGTGGGTTTAATACAGTCTTGAGATTAAAGTATGACTATAACAAACATTGGAGTGGGTTTCACCTGTTTGCAAATGGATGGATTCTCCAAACTTCTAAATCTCTGACTTTGCTGTCACATACTGACATCTCACAACTCACCCACCCCGGTGCCTAAGAGGGATAAAACTAACTATAAAGAGAGCACTTGGCCCAAGTCTGGAGTTAGTGCCGTGATGTACTCTGTTGGGTCCCATGACTTGTTCTTGGCCTCGTGTCACAGGACAGTTCCTAGTGAGAGAGGAGAGGAGGGTTCGCTGCAGTTAATCCCCTCTTTGAAAAAAGCATCCCCACCTCCAGCCAGCGAACGCCAGAGGTGAGCCGGAGCCACATTACTGCCATTATGTTGTTGAAAATGAGCCCAGTGCACATGTGTGTGTGTGTGTGTGTGTGTGTGTGTGTGTGTGTGTGTGTGTGTGTGTGTGTGTGTGTGTGTGTGTGGACTCAGATGTCACGACCTAAAACATTGTGTGTGAGTGACTCTAAGGCTGTTCAATTCAAAATCATAGTTTATTGTTCCTCTGTATAATCATTCACAAAAATTCTCTCATCAAGATATTGTGGCTCACACTTCTGTCTAAATCTGTCGGAGCAAATTTGCAAATAATAGAATGTTGTCCTGAAAAACAAAATAGCTTGACTATGAGTTTAATCTTTTAACATTTGATTTTGAATCATTTAGTACATATATCATTAACAAGTGCATCCATCCATTATCTTTACCTGTTTTTCCTTTGCAGGGTTGTAGGGGACGGGAGCCCACACATGTCCACACTGGTCAACTTTTGCACTTCCGGTTGCCTCGTCCCTCAGTCCATGGGTTTAGGCTAGATGTCTGAAAACAGGTCTGTAGTTAACACAAGCTTAAGACATTGTTATGTTTTTACCAGTCCGTCTTAAGTTTTATTAACTTCCGGGGGTTGGCCTCCAAAAATGAGTCAACCCTGCAGCTCTATAGAGTCCCAAATGTAGTGAACCTGCATACTTTTGGACTGAGTGAGGAAACTGTTGCAAAGCAAACTTCA